TGAACGCCAACTCCTCTTGTACACGACGCGCAAAATGCTCGCTTAGCCGAGAGGGGGGGGGGGGGGCAGACCATACGATGGAGTCCACCTGCAAAGCTTACCGGCTGTCTCTTTCGACTTGCAAGCCTGGGCTTCGTGGCAATACGCTTTCCGCATTGGACCCAACCCAAATTCATCCCTTCTTGGCAGCGCCTTCTCTTCCTTGTTCTTCGCATCTCGCTCCAGCAGCGCAGCCACGGACTCGGGAGGCAGATGGGGCTCAGGAGCTTGCAGCCGCTGTGGCGGGATCTTGGCACACGAGCTGCTACTTTGAACCCTTGCTTCGACACGGGCACCTGAAGCAACTGCCTAAGGTTTGTCGTCTTCGGCGAGATCCGTCTAGAGGAAGGCTTCCAAGAAGACTCTTGCGAGCACGCTTGCGCCTTGAACCCTAAAAGGCATTCCTTTCTACTCATCTTCGCACCCTTGCCTTGACGTTCTGGGACAAAGCCTCGAGGATACCTCCAATGCGGAGATGGACAGGGGAGTTTCAGAATTGGGGTACGGGTTCCTTACTTAGGATCTTGAAACCAAAATGCTATCAGAATCAAGATTCTATATCAGGGTCCCTGACAACCAGGGTTCGAGTGTATGCTCTCACACTCGGACACACCCGTGTGAGCCAAAGATCGAATGAGAGTGGTTAGGCATAAAACCGCTGACCTGCTGATCACGACCCCAGCTGATAGTCGTGACCCGTTTGGGCCACTACCCACATGTTTGGTGGCCTCTTGGCCCGTCAGGCAACAAAGAACTCCGGTTGGCATGGAGTGGGCAGTTGTATATCCGTATATTAGCCGTATATCCAAGGCAAGCGGCAAGAACCCGAATCTTGATGCCCGGCGGTCAGCCCATAAGATTTGGGAGGCAAAGCGTATCCAAGAGCCGCTGCAATGAGATGGCCTCTGTATTGTTCGCAAAGGCCGGTGACCAATGGCTTCGCCTCTTGACAGTTGTGGACTTTACTATCACATGGTCGCACCTTACCCCTGCGACGCTTCAAGCAAGAACTATACTATACATCACTGTGTCAAGTAGGTGACGGTATCAGTGCAAACATGGTAAGGCTTTTCCTAGACGCAATTGCGCTAAGGGTCGGCTCAACCTACAGTTTCAAAGCCACGTTGACACGGTTTTCATATGGGTAGTTGTCAAAATTAGAGTCCCTTTTGGGGTACCCTAAATAATAGGTGCCGTATTATAATAAGGACCCAAAAGTGGACCATAATTTTGACAACCACCCATATGGATAAAAGAAAACTGTGTCTATCCACCGGGAGCATCGTGACCCACCTGATGGAACTGGCGGGGCAAGGCTGCTCTCATGAACTGCGTGAGCCAAAAACGACACAAGACGCTCACACCGCTGTCTCGGGACAATCATGCACACGACGACCTCGTCGCATCGAATCCGATGCACCCGAGGGCTGCGCATTTTGCATACGAATCACGTCCAGGAGCTCTGACATCGCAGACACCTGAGGCGAAGCTCTGGCTCGGCACGAACCATCGTCACTAGTCCATGTACTTCCCCGACCAACATGGCATGTCTGAGGCTGCATGATGCTGATGAACTTGGAATCAACTTCCCGTAGTGTTCCAAGCCTGAGTTGATATGGACCTAGCTTGACAAGCCTGATGCCACATGGCACGGTCGGGTCTGGAAACCATGGGCGACCTGGCCCTTGCTGCTCCAAGACAGGCAGGACTGGTCGATGCTCAAGCTGCTGTCCTAGCCCACCCGCAGCATCCGGCAGCCTCTCTTGCTTGCTTGCTTGCTTGCTGGGCGTTTGGGGATAGGGAAGCGTGCTCCACAACCCCTGCGCAGCAGCACTCCGCCTGGTTCGTGTCCGGTCTTCGGCAGTCTCTTTCGTTCATTGGGCTTGGGGGACTGTTGAGGTGCCCCGGCCGCGGCCTAGTGGCCCCCATGTGTTATGGGGATTTACGGGGGTTTGAGCTTCGGCAGTCTCTCTCTCACTCTCTCTTTGATCTCTCTCGCTCCGTGCCTTTCCTGTTCAATGAATGTGGGAAGTCACGATCCGAAGTGCGGACCAACGGAATGCCTTGTGTATACACATGTAGCCCCCGCTTGGACATGGCAGCTGGGACACTGAACCGTCTATCCCACTATGAACAATCCAGATTCCTTCTCAGAGGCTGAGATTCGCACAAAGGCTCCACCGCCCAAACCTGGCAGCTGCATGCCTCCAGCGCAACCGTGGCTCTGGTTCTGCCCTTCTTACAATGCCACGGCACAAAGACTCGAAGCGTCTCTCGCAGTTCTGCCCTTGCGAGACCTCACGCTGAGTCGCGGGCTTCGCCCCAAGAAATCAAAAAGCAGCCCCTGGGCATTCGTCGTAAGCGACTTCATACACGCCAACATGCGATAGGCAGATACATGTATGTCGTGTTCATGATACCCTGACGCATTGTATTTCATTGTGCGGATAAGGTCGCAACGAACACGTTGCATTCAAGAAGCTCCCAGAGGTAGATGTGATCCTGCAGCAGACAAGGGAGCCGGGCTACAATCCAAGCCCGAATCGGTTGGGGTGGAGCCTTCTCTGCACGCACTGCCTAAAGAAATAGGAACAACGACTTTGCAGGGTTTCCAAGTCAGTACTCAAAGTCTTGAGCATTGAACATTCTTGTAGCAGGGCAAGCACAAAACACAAAGCATCCAATAAGCGAAAGCGAAAGCCATGGCGGCCGCTCCATCGCTTTCACCATGGCCTTGACCTCAGAGACATGAGGTCAAATACAACTGTGTACAGAGTTGAAGACAAGCGTCCAGCGAGGCCAACCCTGTTGCCAAGCCCTTTAGTAAGCCTTGTCTGTGAAAAGCGACCTGAAGGGCCCTGCGAGAGCTCTCCGCAGCGCTCTACAGGAAGCCGATCACTTCCTTTGATTCGTCGCTATCCGTTTCCTCTTCCACGCCATATCAGAAGCCCAGAATGCACCAAACCGCGCGGGAGACCGTGGGCAAGCATCGGGAGGGCGTTTGAACCTAGCGCTCCTTCTGGCATGTCCTTATCAAACAAAGTCTGCGGCTCTCTGGAGGACTTTAGTCATTCTGTCGGCACAGGCAGAAACTCCTTGTGCCCCGGACAAGGCGCACGGGTGCCAACTGCAGGTGCCGATGAGGTGCCGCGAGGACCAAAGCCGTGGCCTCTTCGCATCTTGTCAGAAATTACGAGATTCTGCATATATCCAAGACGTCTCTGTAGATTCACATAACAAACGTACATGGGCATGTTGGGCAAGTAAACAAACCAATGAGTAACCACATAAACCAAAGCCAATAACAAGTGCAAACATGACATACATACATACATACATACATACATACATACATGCATGCATGCATGCATGCATGCATGCATGCATGCATGCATGCATGCATACATGCATACGTATGTACGTACGTACATTCATCCCTCACAAAAAAAGCGCGTCCGCATCATCATCCTTGTAACTGTCCACTTTTTTTGGAACTTTCGCGCGCAATCGCGCAACCCCTCACACACAAATGAGAATGATGGCGGTGTTGCTGAGGACAATGACGCTAATGTGCTTCGGGTCTCAGGTACCGCATGACCGCATGTTGACGGCTTTAATTTATTCTCTCGTAGTTTGAATCGACCGTGGTCATTCTATGCGCAGTCTCGGCTGGGTGCGTTACACGTCAGCCCGAGCTTTCATTCGGGACTCTCGAGCAAGGGACCGGAGGAGAGAGCAAACGGGGATCATTATTACCATATTCAGAGGGAACACACAAACACACAAACACACACAAAAAAAACACATCACAAAGAACCACAGGGGTCAGGGCAGGGATACCATGGGGCGGGGGGGAAGGGATTCGGCAGCAGCGTTGTGCCATACATGCATACATGCATCACTTTAGATTACATTAGATTACATTACGCTACATACATACATGCATACATGCTTAATACGTACAGGCTGAAGAAATAAGGAACACACACACACAAATGCGTACATACCTACCTACCTACCTACCTACCTACCTACCTACCTACCTACCTACCTACCTACTTACGTATCTACCTACATATCTACATATCTACATACATACATACATACATACATACATACATACATACATAACATAACATAACATACATACATACATACATACATACATACGTACATACATACATACATACATACATACATACATACTTACATACCCAAGTGCCTAAGTGCGTGCATGCTTACTCCATGCATCCATCCATCCATCCACCCACCTACGCATCCATCCTGCGCACATACACAGACGCAGGATAAGCATATGCATACACATCCATCCCATCCACCCATCCGCCCATCCACCCAACCACCCACCCATCCACCCATCCACCCACCCACCCGCCCATCCATGCATTTTAGCACTCGTGCTCGGCAACATCAGTCCATGCATGCATGCATGCATGCATGCATGCATGCATGCATGCGGCTGTATGCGTGTACACAAACAGACAGGAGGACGGACGAACGGACGGACAGACAGGATAGACAGGCAAACGGACAGACAAACAAACAAACAGCCAGGCGGCAGGCAGGCAGGCATGCAGGCATACAAAACAACAGACTAAAAACATCAAAAACATCTACACATACGTCCACGCGCGCAGCCACACCATGTACAGTAGATGCTGGTAGTACTCATTCATGAGAGGGCACAGGCTCACGACAGGATTCCAGAAAGTGTGTCATATCATGAGCCACACTCTCTTGGCACTGTCCTTTCAAGGTTGATTGGCCAAGCTGTGGCCTTGTAGGCAACTTTGTGCTCAGTCATGAACGAAAGCGGCATCGAGCGGTGGTTCCTCGCAGCCACAATGCACAGCGCTTGCAAGTTCATCAAGAAGATTGGGTAGCGGCCGAAGCTTCATTGGGACTTGCACTACCAGTACAGGGTAATCAAGCTTCTCTCTGCACGCTGCCTGTCCGAGGCTGAGCGTTGCCCAGCACGTAAGGAAAAGCAGATCCTAGCTGCGAAAAGGAAAATCATGAGCCCCTATAGGTCAATGACCACATCGGCTTTCAAACTGAAGGTGATGCCGGCACCGCACTGCCGCTGCTTTGAAGTATTCGATGACATATTCGATGACGGTAACATAATGACACATCTTAGTTGAGAGGAGCTTCGCGGTTATTTGCTCTGGTTCCCAAAAGCGTAATCTGTGCGATGTTTTGCTCATCAAACTCGGTGTTGGGATCGCATATTGTATAGGCATCTTTGCATGTTTCAACAAACCAGTTGGCTCTTGGCTTGCCGACTCTACGAGTGTGTTCAATGCCTGGTCTATCCGTGCCTTGACCATAAATAGTATTTGTTTCATTGGGTCGTCCGAAGGAGCCCTCAACATGTGGCCTAGTAAGGTTATTTTACGCTGCTTCCATTTGTCCGACAGCTTGACATGCTGATATTGGGCTCGTAAGTACGGTTCGTGTATTACCTTCCGATTGGTCCATTCCCTATCGATATGGGTAGGAGGTACATTCAAGACTCGTCGCAACATCTTCATTTGAAATGCATCTGTTCGATCCTGATCTGATTTTGGTAACTGCATAGTTTCGAGGCCAGACAACAACTCATTCATTACCACTTCTAAAATTGTCAGTTTCCATCTTTTCGAAATGCGAGCTTTTGCCCAAAGGATCCCAAGTTGGTTTGCTGTAGCATTAGCTTCCCCAGTTTTTTGCAAAATTTCTTTATGATTATCTACTGCATCTGTCAACGTGGCACCCGAAGTATGTTGCTTGTGCCTTCCTTGGCACTTTATTTCCATTCATGTATCTAACTGAGGACTGGTTCTGATTCAGTGTAAGGTTAACACATTTGTCCAGATTTAATTTCATGTTGTGTTTTTGTGACTCTTGTTGGATTTGGTGCAGGAGCTTGTTTATTGAATGTGTATGGGTACCAAAGATCAAGGTGTCATCCGCATATAAGATTTCTGCATAATGCAGTCCCAGGATAGGTTCCTTTTGCTTTGGCGTGTTTAAGACTTCATGTCATGGAACATAGCTGTCATAATGATACAAAACAGATACGGAGACAAAGGGCATCCTTGTCGGATTCCTGAGTTCTGCTCATGAAAACTTGATTTGTTTTCCTCTCTTACGACACGGAACTTGGCTTCTCGATATATGTTTCTTAGTGTTCTGATGATGTTTTCATTAATTGATAATCTACTCAGGGTTTCTACTAAGCGGCATTGATCAATCTTGTCGAAACGTTTTTCCCAATCCAGTAATATCAGTGATATGTTTGTCCCTTGTCGTTCTGCCAAGTCCATAAGTCTTCTTGCTATAAAGATCGCTTGTGCCGTAGACTTCTTTTTGCGGGGACCGAATTGTGTTTTTAACAACCATGGATCGATACCTTCTACTAACCTATACTTTAATAAAGCTGCGAGTATCTTGTAAATTGTTTGCAATAAAGCAATCGGCCTGTAGTGTTCAAGTTTGGCAGGGTCTCCTTTTTTGAAGATGGAGGTTATATTGGCCAAGTTTAGCGAATCATAGTACTTTCCATGTACTAGAATGTCACTGTAGTGCAGCAACAAACGACTTCAGTTACCACTGTCTAACCATTTAACCATTTCACTAGATATTTCATCAGGTCCAGGGGTTTTGTTGGGCTTTAAGTTTTTCAGCACCGTGTCAAGTTCGGAGAGATCCCATGCAGTAGAATGAAGCTCAGAGTGGCTTATCCTGGGAGGTACCGCCTTTTTGTTCCAATTGCATCTAGGTGTCGAAATTGCTCTACTCCCTGCAGTCTTCTAGATTGCGGAGTTTGCTGCGACATAAAGCGAGGGCTTCCACTGCAGTCGTTGATATGCTCTGGTGGAGTGAGTGCACAGATTTGCCCTGCCGCCCGACAGCAATTCCAGCTCTGCCAGCTGCTCTGGCTAGCCGGCTAGCCACTATGACTCTGACATACTTTGAACAAACAGTATACCATGCTGCAGGACAACTTCGATTCCGTGGCATGCCAGCTGGTTCGTTTGGGGATCCGGCGCAACTGCGAATGCCAACAGCTCGCAAACCACCTGAATCGCCTGCAAGAGCGAGTCTGCCTATGAAAATGCAAGGAAATCTGCTTAGTTATGAAATGTCCAAGGAAGTCGCGAAACCCTGTGTCATGAACAAGAGTATGCCGAACCTGAGGCCAGCGCATAAGCCTCGGACTGGCTGAGGAGCCGAAGGCGCGGATTGTTCTCCTCAAAAGGGAAGTGTCAAGTGATGGAGCCGCCAAGCCGGTAATTTCTCTCGGACTCCAAGACGGGATGATGCGCGGCGACTAGGGGCTGCGCAGCCGGAGTCTGGATCAGGGGACATGCCTGCCAAAATCGACAAGTATGTTGAACTCCAGAACTAGTAATAATAGGAGCCAGTGCAGCTTAGCCCAGCTGTTCGAAAAACGGCTTGCAGTGAGACTCTGAGATTCACAGGCCCCTTCAGCATTTCCAACTCTCCGACAACAGGTCACGAAAGGTTCTCTCTCTCTCTCTCTCTCCCTCTCGCTCTCTCTCGCTAGGGCATAAAGGGTGGAAAGTTTTTTATCTCTTGCTTGCTTGCTTGCATGACGTTTGGGGCCAGGGGGTGTCCCGAACCCCTGCGCACAAGCGCTACGCC